CGTTGGGGCCATATGACCCCACAGACGTTTCAGAATTAATTATTTTCTTATTATTTATTATTTCTTATTACTTTTTTGGTTAATTGACATTAGGAATAGGAGTGGAGATAGTGCTGGGATTAATGAATAACGCATATGTATGATTTGACTGTTTTGTATTGAAAAAATCGTACGAAAATATACAATTTACAATAGTATTTCTATATATTTAACAACAATTTTCAATCAGTTGTTACTACATGTGGATTACGGGACAATGAACGTTAGTGAAGTGGCTTGCGTCAGTACACGTTTGAAACGTAATCCTTTATCCTAATGTTGCTCGTACAACTCTCGAGCTCGGTCGAATGTTGCTCGTGCAACTGTCGAAATCTGACTGACACTTGTCCGTGCTTCCGTGAGCAAATTATATAATAACCCCAGCAATTATGGCAGTTTCTGCAGATACTACTACAGCCCAAGTTTAAAAGACGTAGGCAGTAGTTACTTTCTGTAGTAACCTGTTGAACCAGACAACTATAATTAGTATATAATTGTACAATATTTATGCAGTTATATTTAAGACAATTCGATCAAATTAAGCTTATATTACCTGACGTATGTTTATTGGAATATACATATAAATTATAATGATATAAAAGTTTGAAATACAATACGATGCGCTACGGTACAATACGTCTATTCGATTCACTTGCTCCCTTGCGACTACATCATGCTATCCGCGTTCGGCGCAGTGCGCTAATACGGATGCCAACGAAATATCACTGTAACACTTAAAAAAGTTTTACAGTTCCATTTATATCATTGTCCTGTGAAAATGTTTATACTTCCAGCAGCATTCATATTCCAATCAAATAATTTACAGAATAAGGAAAACGAATCTGAAGTGATTTCCGGTAGTCCCATACATCTTTATCTCGAATAATTTTCTAAAACGTTCAAAGTACTAGACATTTTTACACTTTGAATCTCATATTGATTTCTAAAATAATCCTAGTTCGATGTAATATAGAACGTGGTTTTATGAGATAGATTCGAAGTTCGCAGCCATTAGCTCGATATTGTCATCAGTTTACAGTACTTTACCGATGATAATACCGATTGCCCAGGCCTCACCACGAGGAGGTTGCTGCGAGTGGAGGCCCAAGGCAGGTAGATGGAATCACAAGTTCCACATCTACCCACCTTTCACAATAAACCTTATAAATAACTTAAATCTTAACTATGTAATACTACCGGTACTAAAATCCCTCGGCGGATGACTTCTTTCTTGAGCCTAAACCTATAAAAAACTAAGTTCCCTCGTCGGTTGTCTTCGTTCTTCAGCTTAGAACTAATATTATCTTAATATTCTAATTAATACGAATTAATGCTAGTAATACGAAATAACAAATTTAACGCAATGTAGTCGCTAATACTCAAACGAAAGAGATAGACGGAATGGAAAAAGTTCCATCGATCATTTCGTTTACGCACCTAATATTCCATATACCAAGCAGTTATTAAGTCTACGATGAACTACGCGTTAAACTACAGTATGAACAAGTATCGCGATGAAAGTGTTGTCGCCAGAACCTGGTTTAAGAAAATAGGAAAGACGGGCGACACCTCGCTAACCCGGATCCATCTTTTACTGTCATGGAGCTTTGGGCTGGTCACCTGCGTACCAGACCCGAACCAAAAGAGTACACAAGCATGGTAGTGCAAGCGAGATTCTCTGTTAAACAGAGTCCGTTTACGGAGCAGCCTCCCGACTACTCCGTACCCTGGCACGCACGAGTCTTTCTCCAAATCCTACTTACCAGGCAAAGACTAAACACGTCCGATATCTGGCTTCTCAATAGAAACCAGAGGGATCGGCAAACAGTCTTAGTGTACAGACCCACTGCCCGTACCATAGGTACAGACCCACTGCCCGTACCCCAAGTCTGTGTAGAGAATCAACGAGCAAAATGAATTAATAATAACTTGGTATGCACAATGGATGGTCACAATTTAAGTCTATTAATAGATAGACTAAAATTAATAATAAACGATGTGATGATGAATATGAATATAACAATGAATATCGAATTATGATTTAAGTTTAACTTACAGTAACTTAACGCAGTGGTAGACGCACGCTTTGAAGATGTAGACGTTGATCGATGTCTTCTTTCGATGGAATAACTGTTTGGAAAAATATTTTTCATTATACAATACACATAGAATACATAATATGCACAGTAAATAAATCACAGTAAATAAATCACAGTACATAAGAAGATAAATATCGAAGCCAATGGTTCTCGAACATCTGTAACATACAAGGGATTAGTAACAAGAGAGGGGACACAACAATATGCACAGTAAATAGATTAATAATATGCACAGTAAATAAATTGATGGTTGTCGAATGCCTGCAACAAACAATGGGTTAGTAACAAGAGAAAGGACGAGTATGAGACGCGCGACCACCCTCCGCGACGGTTCACGACAAAGTGAGGAAGCAAGCACAGACCTGCACGGGCTGGTACGACCTTGGTACACGGCGTACACGGCTAAGTCAATAAACTGGGTGACGCAACACACTAGCGCGTTGGATCGACGGAGAGCACCGATACTCGGCACGCTCTACCGTACTCTCTCGCTCGCACACCTCCCCCCATATACCCCTGAAATTCCACGGCGCGTCACACCGACAGAGAGAGACCGACAGACACCGATACCGCGGCTCGCTCTCTCCTGTTCGCCCGCTTCGACCATCATCGGCATCGTTCGGTACGCGTCGACACCGACGGGGAGCACCGATACCGCGGCTCGCTCTACCGCTCTCGCTCGAATTTTCGAGCGTGAGCACTCTCATTTCCTCTCTGCTTGGACACTTTAACCATTTTGACATTCAAGATTCAAGCGATTTAAGCAAATTCAAGTGGATTCGAGTTGACTGAAGGAGAGTCTACTTAAGCTCTAAGAGCGAGTTAAGATTGAGTAAGAAGAATCCAAGAATCTGAAGGGTGTTGCCTGTATGCCTATAAAGATCGAATACTTGAGAAGATGTTAGAGAAAACGTCGACTCCAGATAATAATCAATTATCAAAAGAGGATTATTTGATTATGCGGGCAAAAGATGCACTTCCTGTTGATATTTACGCTGCCAAATCCTGGTTAATTACCGCGAAATCCTTATTTCCCCATAGCGCAAAAGTCCAGGTTAGAAAGAAATTTATCTGTCACTTTAGTAAACATTATGCTACAATTGAGCGACAGTGTTAACTTATGTCTTAATTGTGTTCTCATCAGTTTGAAGCGTATCGGATCGAAAAGCTTTCGAAAAATGTAAAGGAGGCGGCGAAATGTTTCAGCGAAATGTAAGTGGTCAAGTTGATTGACAGTTCAGATAGTTAAGAAAACATCATTTAGCACGTTTGAGCAAACCTGTAAATGTGTGCACAGATTTCAGAATTTTCCAGATGACAGAGACATATGGAAGGAAATAGAAACAGTGACAGCATGCCTTCGTTTGGAGCAATGTGATACAGAAGCAGAATTTCTGTGTCAGATGTTCCAACATATACCTCAAGAACTACAGCATAGACTACTCATCATGACTGCAGACCACAGTGAAGATACAATGGAACATTGTAAATTGTTACTTCTACTATTGCGTAGATTTCCTCAAACTATAGCTACTCATGGAGTAAGTATTTTTGGTTTTGTACTTGAAGCATTTATATTAATTATTTTGTTTCTTAGTCTCTTGCATTTTCAGCCACGTTTGGTAGAAACTCTTCTCACTGCAGAAAAACACAGCCATCCAGGACGTGCAGTGAATGGATTCAGAAGACTATTAGCCTGTGATGCACTGCCACTTCTTGGCACTGCACCGGTGGAATTAAATCCAAGACTTAGTCTCAGATTGCTTTGCAAAGCAGTTGAATTTTATTTAGCATACATACAACAGCCACAAGATAATCAAATTCTAAATCCATGGGACAGGCTGTTTCAAGTTGTAGAGTTAATTGGGAAAAAGTTAGGGTGGGAATTGGGTAGTCTGTTCTCTATGTCCTGGAATAGGGATGCTTATTGTGAAAGATTACAGCAGTACGCAGTTGTGCATACTACAAATTTATGCGAGGAACTGATTGTTAGGCAATTATTAATGTGTACTGTTGTAGTATTATTGAGAATATTAAATGAACATAATGCACTTATTACCAATGATGAAACTATATACTGCTTGATCGAAGCATTTGGGGAATGCATTCATTCACCTGCAGGTGAAGTATTGTACTAACTATATTTATACATGGGACAAATTTTTCTGATGACGAATAATTGATTTGTTTTAATAATTAACAGAACCCAAATTGAAGAAACGTAAGAGGGAAGATAATGGTGGAATTGCAATAACCAGTGATGGTGAATATAGTGGTAATGGTTTGGCATTAGCGGTAAAGTTGTGGGACTTGTTACATAGTAGTGATTACTTGCAAAGAGAAGTGGGGAAATTAAATCAACAACTTCGATTAGATACTTGGCTAAATTCTTTTCTAACAGATTTAGCTATGTACAAAGGGTTACATCATGAAGTATTGGCAAGATTATCACAAGAAGCAGGTAGTTTATCTGCTCACCTTCGTTTAGCAAGTACATGTTTTTTCTTAAAAGATTATAAGGTATTAAGATATTCCTATACTATATCACATCAGTCATGTGATTATCTTTCAATATTCCTAAGTATGTAATATTTTTTTCAAGGGAATGTTAGAATATATAGTTTTAGTGGTTAGTGCATTACCTTCTGTGGCTGGCAAGGTATCACACAATTTAACAGTCTCCTGTGCAAGGCATTTACATTATTTAACAGTCGCGCGTTTTCCTGTCATCCAGTATTGTTGTAGGTTACTACTTTCAGCGATAAAGGTAATGAATACGTAGAAGAAATCAATTTTCTTTGATTATTTCTGTTGTATTTACCGTATTTATTCAAATAGGAAAACTTTTCTTTACCCGGAGGAGTCGGAGACTTGGCCATAGGACACGCGTTGGTGTTAATGCAAATTGATTGGCCACAGGAAGCTAGTACTTTAACCACAATTACAGAACGAATTGTCAACCGTGGATCTTTCACTTACCCCTTGTTTCAAGCTTACATTATTTGCGTGGATATTCTAGAGGAATTGACGTATTTATGGACCGAACACGGTGGAGGTGTATCATTGGATATTGCAACAGGATCTGGAGTAGTACAAAGTATATTTCGTAAGAGTTGTTCATCATCGCATCATACACTTATTCGTACTGAATTTTTTGTAAAAATATTACAGATCGACGCATTACTACTCGCGGAGCTGACAAAGGAGTGCGTGAAGAAGTGAAACAAGCGATGAGACGGCAAGCAGCCCGCGACGGGATTGATCCTTTAGATGAATTATTACAAAAGTTCATTCTTAACGAAAAAGCCGCCATTCTGCACAGTTTAATAATTCAGTGACTTTATCTTTATCTCCAATAACAGATCTAATATAAAATTTTAATAAAATTGTATACTTTTTTATTGAAAAATATACACATCATTTTTTTTAAAAGACAACTTTAATATTTTATATACACAATAGTTAAGAGAAAGAGTTTGGATAACAATCCATATGGGAACGTTTTAGATGCTCTCAACTCCAATACGGCATCCTACTTTTTACACGTTTCTTTAGATTTATAGGATTAATAATACGAGGTTATCGAACTTCGACAAGCCACGTTTGGATATAAAGTCTATTTTCGTTATGGTACAATTAAGCAACAATGTTCGTACTCAAACAGTTATGGCTATCCGTACTGCGGCGAACGTTATAGTAAGTTAGTGCAACATAAATATATCATTCAGTAAGAATTATAAAAATTTTAAATTATAAAAATCATTTAAAGTAATTGTTTTAAGTTCTCTATATTGCGTTCTATCTAATATAGACATTCAATTGGAGGGCACTTAGAAGTAGTACTTTAATACCGGGCATGAAGGAGGATATTTGACTGAAATCCGGACCTGAGACTAATTGCGTGTGCAGGTCTAAGCCTCCACTATAATTTCCATTTTGTATCATCTGTGATATCTGATGCAATCCTTGCAAAGTGTTTTGTGACAGCTGTAAAATACAAATATAAATGTATAAACATATCAGGATCAATATCTGTATATCCAGAAAAAAAAAGATACATACTTTATTTTCTCTAAGACAATCATATAAAACTTCTAGCTTCTTGGACACGTCCTCTATCTTCCTTTTGACTTGCTAAAAAAATTAGAAATTTATCAATTTATTCTTATTGTAACATATTGTAACATTCTGCACGTATACAAATTTTTATTCTACCGGATTTTTGGCGCTCTCGAAACATTGGTTTTTCAATTCATCATATACAGTTTTTAAATGTACGTGTTGTTCTGGTATTGGTGCTTTCGGTTTTTCGGGTTCTGGTGTTCTTGCAACTGCAGCAGGTTGCAAAGGTTCCACTGATTTAGCGAACTCTACTCTCATGTTTGAAACGTTCTGATTATATTGCTGTGGATTGTAAGGTGCTTGCACATCAGGATAAAACTTTTCTTGCGGTAAGACCTTAAGAAGAAAGCAAGAAATAGATATTGTTTAATATTCAGTATTATAATATTTATATAATATTACTTACATTTGGTTCAGGTTGCGGTAAAGCACCTCTTAGTGGATGCATAATGGGATTTTGTTGCTGGTACTCCGGTTTTGACTGAAAATAAGTTAACACTGTTATATCTGACACATGTCCTTATTAATTGCCTATAGCAACAACGTTAACGGTATTTATATATAGTAAATTGAAATATTTGCACAACAACAATTTTTTCTATGAAGCAATTAAAAACGTATTCGTGTGTTGCACAGTGTATACTACAGAGTATTAAATAGTTAATTCAGTATCACACGAAAATGAAACTGTTATTAGCGATTGAGTAAATGGATCTTTTTCAAATAGAGTAACATACAGGGAATAGATACATTATAGCTAAACAAAAATAAACAGCAATTACGAAACTGCGAAAACAGCACTCAATCTCAGACAGTTATCTACCTTCATATTCACATTCTTCGAATGTTTTGCTTTCCATTTTCTGGTACCAGCGTGTTCCGCAGACATTTCATTTTTGTGGTATAATGCCAGTACTGGCTACATTATTTGAATATATGACTTATTACTATTTTAATATGCAACCGCATGTATATTAATATTTGAAAGATACAAGATTATTTACCTGTACTCTACTTTTGGCAGCTGGTGGATCGTTCCATCCCGCAAGTTGCGGTGGTGCCTGATACACATTCTCGTTTCCATAAACTTGAGCCTGTGGCGCCGGTTGCGTTCTAATCGGATCGTACATTTGAGTCTGTGGCGAAGTTTGCATTTGCGTCATTGTGTTAGGTTGAACCGGTTTGAACGGTTCTGATTCTTTAAAACCAGCTGTAAAGCTCTGTCCAGGATATGTGTTTGTTGGCACAGAAACTTGCGGCTGATACATGTTTGGCGCGGAGTAGCCTGACAGTGAAGGAATTTGTTGATTATTGTATGGCGATGTCTGTTGAGGAAAACCAGCTTGACCATACGTTGCAGTAGATTTTACAGATGGGTCTATCAGATATTTTGATCTTGCTTGGGGCCCAACGCTGGGCGGTCGAGATCCAACGCCGCTTGATCCAGTTGTGGGAGGCGGGGGAGGAGGAGGTTGAGAAACTGGGGCAGAACTAAATGTATGATCGTGTTGTAAAGGAGGTTGAATGTGTGGTTGAAGGGGAGATAATCCGAAAGGTTGTTGGTGTTGGGTATTAAATTGGTTTGTAGGTGGTACAAATGGTTGTTTTACAAGTGGGGCATTTAAATCAACAAAGGGTCTTCCTTGTGTTCGTTGCATAAGCAAGGGATTTTGCATATGGCTTGTTTGTGAAGGCCTTCTTGTTTGATCGTAGTAATTTTGTATACGTGGTTCTTGTGGCATGCTCTTCGATTCCTGAATGTATCCTAAGGCTCTACAGAGCCGGTCCTTTAACATCACAATTCTTTCATCTTGACTATTTCCAAGATAATTTAGTGCAGCGTCAAGATCACCTTCTGCCGCTAACATTTCTGCGTACTGTGACAGGACATTGGCAATTCTTCCTTCTATCCGTATATCTCTGATACCTTGTATCTCCAAAGCTTTTTGCATTATCATTACTAATTCTACTATCTCTTGAATGTCGACGTTGGAGGACTCGATCATTCTATTCAGATTTCCAGAACAAATATAACAGATTTGTGATTCTTCTTTCAATGTCGGATTATCGGATGATGCTAAACGATCTCCCAGCATATCTGCAGTCATCCCAAAAAATTATTAATCATACGTTCGTACGGGAATCGTTGCAAGATAATAGTTTTATACACACCGCACAAAGTAGATCGCTCCTGTGGATTGGAATGGGTAAATATTGCAATTAGTACTTCTTTCCAGCAATTTATGTCAGTATTATTGACAATATCAGCCCAGTTTTCACTAACTAATGAATTAATTAAAGAATTGAGAGCACCAGTATGTTCTGAAAAGTATCTGTACTGGGTACGTGCTAGTAAGTCGGGTCCAGCAGCCATTGAAAGAATGACTGCATCTGCGTACCTTTTATGGGCAAAGCACAAAGACACCGCAGCTTCAATGTTTCCTAAGAGGATTGCCTGAGTAATAAGCCCATCCTCATCTAAAATACATTAAATTGAGGTCAGATTTGTTAACAACTCACAATAAAAGAATTCAAAGATAGTTCAGTCTTTAATAGATAATTACCATCAGACACATTTATTTTAAAATTATTATTTGTTGATGTAACCGTGGTTGCCTTTTTGGTTTGTTCTTGTGCAATAGCATCAAATGCTGCACTACCATCTATAACGTTTCCATTAAGTACCTAAAGAAATTACAATATATACTGTGCAAATATACTACGTAACTTATTCACAGTATTCTAACTGCTGTTTAAATAAAACTTACATTGTTTAGATTACCGACACCTTCTGTAATATCGTTGATATCTTCTTGAGGAACCAGTTGATTTAACTTGTTATTCATTGTTTCTATATTATATCCCAATAATTCCAATATTTCTTTTGTCACATTTTCACCAAAATATGCACCCACGCAGTTCCATATTTTTTTTCTATGTACATCAGTCAATTTTTCGGCCTTTTCTTTACAGTAATCACCATATTGTTCAGTTTTAAGTACCTCTTCCAATTCATTAGAACGTTGGATTAATTCTGGATGTGTGATTACTTGTGATATAATAACTTTTCTATTCGTGTTTGCAGGCATATTGGGATCTACAGGCGGATTCTCGAATATTGTTAATGTACCACCAAACTAAAAAATTTTTACCGTTTTTATACAAAATGTAATCAATTTGGTACTATCATGTAATATAGTATGTAACGTATTTGCTATTTTGTATATCAAAAAGAAGTACCTACACCAAAGGAAACTCCAAATGGTCTCTTCAACCATTTTGGAGCTTTTGTCAAGACAACTGCTGGTTCTGACTGCATTGTAGGAGGAGGTTGAGCAAACGGATCCATTCCAGGAAAGGAATCCACAATTTTGTTAGATGTCTCAGTAGGCATCTGTTGTTGTCCACCCAATAAGGAATAAATGGCTGCATGCCCATCAAAACTAGTACCCACAACTAATCCTGGATGTCTTGGGCACCATGAAACATCGAAATTCCATTGATTTGTTTGTGCTAGTTCACAAATCACTTCACCATTCTGCATGGAAATGAAAGAAACAAATTGAATTCATTCATTTGCATATTAAAAATGCGCATATTGTTATAAAACTCACTGATGCATCCGAGTTAGGGTTCCAACACAATATTCTATTATCTTTGGCACAACTTAACAGCAGATCTGAATCATGTGGATTCCATGCAATTGATAAAACTCCGCGTTGATGATTTTGCAACATTTTTAATGGTGATGTTGCAAACCTCAATATTTACAACATTGTAAATATAAGAATAGAAATATTTTAAAATAGTGAACATGCTAAAACATGTATGCAGAAAATTACTTTTGAATTTGCATCTGTTAGCTTGATTATGGGCTCATTCTTTCTTAAATCCCATATGACACAGCGCTGTGAAAATGTAGATGCAAGAATGTGTTGCACTTGCTTATTCCATGCAATGTGTTGTACATCTTCTAATGGCTGACTTCTAGATCCAGGAGTCATTGGAGTAGTTGTATTAACAATGTCCCATATATAAATTTCACTTTCAGTTGCTCCAGTTGCTAATAAATTTGCTTGGAATGGATTAAAATCTAAAGCTCTAACCGGTCCTGTGTGTCTGTCTGGACTGCTTATTAAACAATTATTATCATTAGTCAACATTTTGGCTGCCGAATATATCTTTATCATTCCATAATCACAGCCTCCAACAATTATGCCAGCTGGATTGTTGCCATAAGAACCCCATATTATCTTATGGAATCTAAAAAATACATACTCATGAAAATTATAGCAATATTTCAGTACCATTTATGTATTCATAAAGAAAATCATTTTTCCACCTATGGTCACTTGCAATACTGGCTTTCAATTCTAAATCATATCCAGGTTGTTGCAAGTTCAATGAATATAGATCCAAGCTGGCAGATGTATTAAAACTTGCATCGAGTTGTTGAGCTGCTGTTCCAGCAGCTAATAATATGGGATGTTGAGATGGTGGAGACCATGCTACATTGACAGTCTTAAGCAACTCCTTTACTTTCATCCTTGTGGTACTGTGACACAATTCAGTTTCATTCATTATAAAGGAATGTATATCATAGTTTCTTTAAAGATTAGTTAAACAGCAGTACTGTAATTTGTTATTGATTCATGCCTACTAGAATGTTGTGATGCATTTCTAAATATAATGCAATGATCTGTAAACAATAGTGTGTTCAGACAAGCATGCATCATGATATGAACTTTGAGTTTATAGTTACGGTACAATAAAAATTACATAAATGTGAATGATAATATTACAAATGTGTTACACTCGATTTGAAGGTTCACCGACCTAGTACCATCAAATCGTATCACGTGTAAGATGTGTGTACTGCACTATTTATCGTACATAAAACAGAGAACGCACAATTCATTTACATAACGTTTCCTCACCTTAATGTATTCAAGTAACAGTAAGTGAACAAAATGTACTGCAATGAATCTCTAATGTCAAACAAGCAGCAGCCACCCGTCAACTTCTTCCAACGTGGCGAACCGTACGTTCGAAGTAGTGCTGACCTCTTTGGTATTCGTGGTGGTCCATTAATACAATCTGCTCAATCGAACGATTCTTCTTCAAATCTATTTTAATCTAAGACAGAGAAGAAAAAGCATATATTTATGTGAAATTATATGATTATTGATTGATTTCAAACTTTGTTGCAGAAATATATCGAACAAGTAATTATCCTGTAACAGTATTCACCTAAAGTAGAACATCTCTTTTGAGTTGACTATATCATGATATTTTCCTGAACGTAGGAGTCTATCAACGATCTGACAGCGTTAACTAACCCTTGTAAAAACTACGTATCACCATGTGTGGTAGTACGTTAATTACTTTTGTGTAGAAAGTCAAGTCATGCAATCATTACTTTGATTTTTACATTGATACTTGACTCATTGATACTCAATACAAAAGTTACAGAATGTACTGGTCATGTTTATGCACTTGCATTTAGACTCTAAATTTTAGACGATAGAGTTTTTAAATTTATGTTTATTTCACCACCCACGCAAGAAAGTAAAATATATAAGACGCATTAACCGTTCATCCCCGTACAAATGTCTTCTTTCATGAGAGTAGTTGAGGTTATCGGTACTCTTGGAAATATGTACAAAAGTTGGGCTCCAAAATAGTACGTGTTCCTCATCATTCAGAGAAAATCGCTTTATAATGTTTATGCAAAATAAAATATTGGAAAAAGATAGATTATTTAAAGTGATTTATCTTGTTATTTGATAAAAAGAGTAGGGTTACGGGTCATCTTGCTACAGCACTGTCTTATTCTCGGCGTCCTAATAATTCCTGGAAGCTCATTCCAGTTGAATCGGTGCAGGTACAAGGACGGTGTTCTTGCCGACTATTCTTACTCCGTTAATGTATTAATAATTATGTAAAATTACTGAAATAATATTTTTCGATGAAAAAATTGTGTTCACCATGTGAAAATAATGAAAGAAATCGTTTGATTGTTGTTTCATATTTGTTCGAAGAAGGAACCTGGAACTATTTGGAGTGCTGGGGCCGATACGATTCTCGAAGCAAATTTTAATGGAATTAAATGTAAGTCATACAAGTTGATTACATACCTTTTGTTTCAAGAATAAAATGCTTCCCGATAATTAAGGATTGTTCAATTGGTAATGTTATGAACACGCGACAATGAAGTTACGAAATATAATCGCCGCTACTGAAACTTCTTTCAGTTCAAGGTAGACGCCAAGACTTTTTCCTTTCCCACGATGACCCGTTGTGAGAAGCCCGTGATAACGGAAGTCCGGCTTTGACGATAACAACTAATTATCCCGCAATGAGATAAACGAGCTTATTCCTAAATAGTAGTTAAAGCCGGAGATCGTTTTCGTCCGACGAGATTCACGATGTGGCCAAGATTAAGAAAACCATTTCGCACATGGCCGATCGTTCTTCTGATCGTCCTATTGACAGGAATATTTTTCATTTGGCTGAAAAATGGTCAGGAACGTGAGAATCATAGTGATTACGCTTCATTGCGGTAAGCAATCTATAAATAGAAAATAAGATTCCCATACTTTAAAAATCTCCATGAAAATTTTCTTGCATGCGTGTTTGTTTTCGTCGTCGAAGAACTAATTTGAGTATTATCACCTGTTGCTCCATCGGTGTAGAACAGAGGTTCTCAACTCAATTATCGCTTAAAAATTTTGTAACATGTACATCCTAAATCACTATTTAATTACATCTACAAGTATGTAAAACATCGAAATGGTGAAAATGTTTAATTTTAAGGGCGTATAATATAATAGAAATAGTCGTTAGCGGATAGGTTGTAAAATTCTGTTGCGGACAGTCCTTATGTTTATCTGGATCTATATTCATTTCTTTTGATTTTAGACTTTTGGACAATCAAAAGGATTATATAGATCGTAGGGGAATACACGTGGTTGTGGGCCATTACATTGGGGATTCCGTGGATCCCCTGAAAACACCGAACATTACGAAAAGTATGTATACATATACTTACGAAGTAGTAGGTACTTCTTATGCACTCATAATTCTTTAAACTTCTAGATCTTATCAACAAGAATATGTTCGATCCACGGCCTTTTGAGGGGAAAAATGGTAGTCCAGTTCTAGTGCCAGCGAAAGATTTTTATAAAATGCAACAGCTTTATCAAATCAATCGGTTTAATTTAATGGCCAGCGATCGAATACCGTTAAATCGGTCCCTACCGGATGTTAGGAGAAAGGGGTAACTACGCTTTCGTTTCCTGTTTTACAATGTCGGTAATATTACAGCAGTCGGTAATTAAACGATTGTAGGTGCATCTCACGGTATGCTACTTTGGGTAATTTACCAAGAACGTCGATAATTATCGTTTTTCATAACGAAGCTTGGAGCACACTGCTGCGGACGGTATACAGCGTGATCGATAGATCACCAAGATATTTATTAGAGGAAATCATTCTTGTCGATGACAACAGCGACAGAGGTAAAATTACATCGAAATCGTTTCAGTTTCCATTTGTTTAGTTGAATGTTTATTAAATTTTTGTTTTTTTTTTTCACTTTTCTCCCTTAGATTTTTTGCAAGATCCTCTAGACGAACATGTAAAAGGTTTACAAGTGCCTATTAATGTTCTTCGTTCTAGGGAACGCATTGGTTTAGTGAATGCTAGACTTATGGGCGCTAACAAAGCTAAAGGTGAAGTTCTCACATTCCTCGACGCCCATTGCGAATGCACGGTTGGTAGGTGAGCTCTTTTCCTTACCTGCACTAAGATATGCATCATTAAGTATAGAAAAATGAACTTAAAAAGTTACAGCCCTTATTTTCATGTATCTTAGGATGGCTAGAACCATTACTTGAAGCTATTTCTAAAAATAGAACGAGGGTTGTGTCTCCAGTTATTGACATAATAAATGACGATACTTTTAGCTACACACGGTAAGATTTAAGTTAAAATTTATAAGTAAAGTTATTCAAAGAATTATGCACCATTTCAGATCTTTCGAACTGCATTGGGGAGCATTCAATTGGGACTTACATTTTCGTTGGTTAACATTGAATGGCAGACTACTGAAAGAAAGACGCGAGAACATTGTCGAACCATTTCGAACTCCTGCTATGGCTGGAGGATTGTTTTCCATGAGAAGGGACTATTTTTTCGAACTAGGCAGCTATGATGAACAAATGAGAATTTGGGGTGGTGAAAATTTAGAATTGTCATTTAGGGTATGGCAGTGTGGCGGCAGCGTTGAAATTGCTCCTTGCTCTCATGTGGGACACCTGTTTCGGAAATCATCACCATACACTTTCCCGGGAGGAGTCGGAGAAATTTTATATGGGAACCTAGCTCGAGTGGCTTTAGTCTGGATGGACGATTGGGCGGAATTTTATTTTAAGTTTAATACCGGTAACTGGATTGTAATTAAAGAGTTGATCGACTTTACAATTCAAGTAAATGGACGTGTTCCCTCACAGAGGCAGCCAGATTAAGAGACAAGCAGCCAGTTCGATCCAGGCTGGCTTTACGTAATAGATTACAATGCAAGAGTTTTGAGTGGTACCTGGATAATGTATGGCCGGAACACTTCTTTCCAAAAGACGATCGATTCTTTGGACGGGTACGCCTAATATCAATCGACTCGTGCATGAAATTACCCTGATATATGAGTTTACGTTGTTTATAGATCGTACACATCCCAACGAGAAAATGTATAATGCGACCGACTGCGAAAGGCACTTACTCACAGCCTTCTGGGTACGCAGTCTTAGAGGCTTGCGTTCCGCGGCCAATACTTAGTCAAATGTTCGTGATGACGAAAAGTGGAGTTGTGATGACCGACGAAAGTATCTGTTTGGATGCTCCAGAGCACGACACACAGCACAAGACACCAAAGGTTAAAATAATGGCATGCAGCGGCTATAAAAGGCAGAAATGGCAATACGACGAGCAAGTTAGTTTTCAAGAATATAAAAGTGTATTTATGCAAATGAAGAATATATATTATGAATCAATGTTTTTTTTTAGACAAAAACATTTTTGCACGTTTCATCAGACATGTGTTTACAAGCGAGCGATGGAGAAGGACCTGTGATAGCTGACTGCACAAGAAACACTGAACAGCAATGGCTGCTGGAACCTGTTCCATGGAAGTGATACCAGTATTTTTTTTTTTGTATTTAATACTTCTGAAGATCGCGAGCACGTTATCAAAATAAAACGTGAATACAGTGTATTTTTGAGATACTTTCAGATGAATGTACTACTTTTTACTTTTATACACTTGGATATTGAACCCATTGTAAATAAATACTCTGAGACTTACTAGGCAGTATAAATTAATCCCAAGGAATTGCTTTAATATTCTTAATGTTGCGGTTCGTTTAAAGCTCGATTACATTTATATTTTTAGAAGAAAGCAATTATTACATGTCGAGATCGCGTTCGTATCGTTGTATAATACACAAGATTAACGATCAGATTAAACATGTTCTATCGACCGATTTGGAAATACCTCAAACAAACGCACGTGCTTCGCTTACATCGCGTCGTAGACTAATTTAGAAATTCCTTAAACGGGTAATTTGACGTTGTCGATTCCGCAGAAGATGATGCTCATGGCAGTGATTCACCGAGCTAAGGCTATACGTGACGAATCATCTTTATTGTCATCGTCATCAAGGTTGTGTTTCCATCGAGATTACGCGTATGAAAGATGACCGAACTGTATATTAATATTTAAAGTCGTGAGCGCATATTTCGAACGGCGAGACGAAACAAGAAGTTACGTTTCAACGAAATCCTCCACGATACATACAATCGATTAGAGCAAATAGAAAATATAACATTTTTCAATGGCACATACGTCAGCTTGATACGAAAAAAAAACGCGAATTCTGATCTGTCGGACTGTCTGTCGTAGTTTTTTTTTACCGATATCTGGGTCAAAGTCACGTCCTCGACGAGGCCAAGAAGCCACTTAGCTCGAAGCGGCCTAGTCTCCCTGTTCGTACGGTGTATACGATCACCTCCAGGCCAAGTTTGGCTGAGATGAGCGAGCCTTTATTTATGGATCGGTATCGTTCCCTGAACAGAGAAACCGCATCCAAGACGCGGTCTGATCCTTCGGGCCCCCTTTCGTCCGCGCAAGGTGGACAGGTGAATCGTTCGATCGTCTTGCGGATCAAAGTTACGCTCCGACAAGACATGGAGGAAAAGAGAAGGAAAAGGATGACTTGGGAATTCTAATTTTCCGAATTGAAATTATAATGTGCAGGGGTGCGTCAAAGATCACCGCGCAAAAAATCGCGTCAATATGCTGACGCGTCCGAACATCGGAAGCGTTTTATAGTTTCCATGAATATTCTCGAAGAGAGAGAGAGAGAGAGAGAGAGAGAGAGAGAGGGGGAGGAGAGAAAGAGAAAAAACAGAAGATTGTAAAAGCGATGGAAAACAAGCGCGATTCCGTTGTATATTGGTAAAGGACATCGTACGGACGATCGATCAATGGGAGGACACGGATGTGGATCAAGAACGGGCAAAACAGTATCTCTTCCGCCGAAGAGTTACGATTCAACGATAACACGAGGAAGAAAAACAGGTGTTATTGTAACGAGGAGGCGTGGAGCACGATTTAATCGAGATCATCGGGCATCACTCGGTGGTATGTCGTCCCGGTCAATTTGTCCTCGCGGTCACGTCCCCGTCTCGTCTGTAGCTTGTGTTCCGGTTCTCACACAACCGATGACCCTCGGAGGACAACCTAGCGTTTCTCGTGTTAATTACGCGTTCATTTTCTAGAAGAGGGGGCCGACGGGTACACGTTGATTTTCTGGAAACGGGGCTTACCCGTCCACGGAAACCAGATCCGTGGAGTTCCGCGAAACTCTCGGATTTATAGAACGACAGAACGAATATATATAAATATATATAAATATATGTATACAAACAGGATATTCCGGTGCCACGTAGAGAAAGAGGCTCCAACTTGAAACGTCTTTGAGGAATCCATTTTTCTATGCTAAATTCATGGAAATGTTTGGTACACCGCATTAGAATTTCATGTTCGTCGGTTTGTAGACGATTTTACAATGGGTAGATACCACATGTAGATGCACAGTCTCACCGGAAATGTGTCTACCGTGCACCAGAGAGACAGACAGAAATTAATCGTCAACAAGTTTTGTTCTACCGACCATGACACATGCCTCGATCGAATAGGTCTGTACGAAAAGTCTTCGAGTTCAAAGGATCCCGAGAATTCTGAAATGGGCCAGACAAAGAAATGGGGGAGTTTAATGAAAGGCTCGGGCAAGGTACGTGGAATGATCGTGAAACGGGGGGTGGGGGCCGAGAAAGTAAACGCAAGCACGAGATGAAAGTATATCTTTTAAATGTATATATATATATATATATTTTTTTTAAATCGAATATTACATATGAACATATATACAGTCACCACTATGCTACGGGACGCGCGACTACAGGGCTAAAAAAAAGGAGTCTGTTCTGTTACGTGGTATAAAAAGTAGGATCTACGAACACGGTCGATCGTTCGGTAATTACGTGCCCTCCCGGCGGACGTTACTTGTCCTCGCGACCATTTTTACGCTTGTCACGCGCGTCTTTCGCACGCGTTAATTTCAACGCGCGTGGGGGCGTTCGGAAAGTATAAAAGAACAAAAAAGAGATAAGGAAAGAAGAAACGTAGCGAGCGACGATGATCTCGAGGCGACGTGGACGATCCGCCTTTCGTTTCGTTCCACAAGACGCACGTGCAAACCCTCCGAATACTTTGACTAACGCGCGCAAAGAACCTAAATGAGCTGAGCTTGGACCATCTGCGTGTCGTATATATACATATCTATATGTATATACAGCATATGATCTAGCGGTTCTAAAAGGTAACGATCGCTTGTACAGCGTTGTCGGCCCACGGCGGCGCGTTCGTGGCTAAACAGTAAATACGTATAAACTCGGTAACCTCGGTCAAATCACAATCGTGGTACAATTTACAATACTCGTATTATGTATATATATTATTATCTATATATAAATTCATTTGCGTGTGTGTGTGTGTATATATAGTATACTGTAATATCAAAATTAAATGTACTCGTAATTCGTATCGGTACACCTCGCGCGCGGTTGACTATTAATTTATAGAGGATGAAACGTTTACCCTATAGTATACCTGTCTCTGATTTTAGGGGGACGGCTCTGCAAGGCATATTTGTTTCTTTTTTGTTCAGTAAAATTGCACGATGCGCTCGCAGGATCAGCTGCCTTTCGTACAGCGCGACCACGAGTTCTACGCGTTGTATTGAATTTTCACGTTCCACCGATACTTCCTTTTGGCAAACTGACAAGTATACTACATATCGAGGTATACTATACCCAAGTATACACTGGAACTTTCGATGGAAATCCTCGGGAACTCGTCGACGCGTCTGGGACTAACATCTTCGCGATGATTTCGACTAACTAGAGATTGAGCCTCGATTCGAATTCTAGCAGCTATGGGTATAATACGCGTGGTACGGCTACACAGATTAAAATCTAATATTACACTCTGGGTTCGTTGTTGTTAAACCGTGTGTATGTGTATGTGTGTGTACTTAACTGGTGCGCATGGAATGTGTCGGTGAAAACATTATTTCCGTGAAACGGTGTTTTCCTACGCGACGATTGTTTCACCGTGCACCGATATATGACACAACGATCCTCACGATTGAAAACCGGAGGGTGGAACGAAGGGGGCGGGGGTGAACGATCTAATCGCTATTCGGTAGACGAAAGGTAATGCAAGAACAGCGGGGGTCTAAGGAAACCACGCAGAGCACACGACCATCGGAACAGAGTTTCCGGCGTTCGGTAGTCGACACGGAGGCATATTCTCTCCTCTTCTGAATCCCCCCCCCCTCCCCTGTTGCCTCTTCTCCTTTCTTTTCTTTTTTTATCTTACAGTGGGGCTGTGTCGCAATACGGAATCGGCCCCAACGACGACGTTGTCCGCGGTGTCGGCGACCAGTGAAATCACGCGTGTAAACTGGAACGAGATGAGATCGAAAAACGCGGGCTCGCGGACGTGAGAACGTGCCGCGCGCGATTTCACGGGATAGAGTGAGAGAGAGCGAGAAATTTCGCGGCTTCGTTCTTTTCTTTTTTTTTTTTTTTTTTTTTT